CGTAGCTGATGGCTCCCATACATCAGTTGCGGGTTCTGGTAACATAAAATTACAGCCTTCCTTACATCTCAAAGATGCTCTTCATGTCCCTAAACTTTCTACTAATCTTCTTTCTATTCATAAAATCACAAAAGATTTAAATTGCACTGTAACCTTCTTTCCTACTCACTGTGTTTTTCAGGATCTCGCCACAGGGAAGACGATTGGGGGTGCTAAAGAGCAAGGTGGGCTGTATTATCTGGTGTCACAATCTCCTGCAACTCATGTTAAGGATCACATCTTACTGTCACATGGCCAGTCAACTGCTGATTCTCTGATTTGGCTTCATCATAAGCGCTTGGGACATCCTCCATTTAGTTTACTCAAGTCTTTATTTCCGTCTTTGTTTTTGTCTAAGTCTGTTGAGTCTTTTCATTGTGATGTTTGTGAGTTTGCTAAGCATCATCGTGTGTCTTTCCCTTCTAGTATTACTAAAAGTGTTGAACCTTTTGATCTTATTCATTCTGATGTTTGGGGTCCTTCTAAGGTCCCTCATTCTTCTGGAAATAAATGGTTTGTTTCTTTTATTGATGATTGCACTCGTGTAACTTGGGTTTACTTAATGCATGAAAAGTCTGAGGTACCAAAACTGTTCTTTCAATTTTATAAAATGATTGAGACTCAATTTTGTAAAAAAATCAAAAGACTAAGGACAGATAATGGTACTGAATATGTCAATCACTCTTTTTCCCAATTTATACAAAATCAAGGTATGATTCATGAACTTACTTGTGTAGACACCTCTCAACAAAATAGGGTTGCTGAAAGGAAAAATCGTCACCTTCTTGAAGTTGCTCGTGCCTTATTGTTTCAAACACATGTACCCAAATGCTATTGGGGAGATGCCATTCTTACTGCAGCATTCTTGATCAATCGTCTACCCACTCGGGTTCTCGATCATGTAAGTCCTATTCACTCCATGACTTCTTTTTTTCCTTCTGTTCCAACTTTGCAAAGTCTTCCTCCTCGAGTGTTTGGGTGTGTTGCCTTTGTTCATATTCATAAACAGCATCGCAGTAAGTTGGATCCTAGGGCTCTTAAATGTGTCTTCCTTGGATATGCTCCTGATAAGAAGGGCTACAAGTGCTATCACCCTGGAAGTCGGAAATTTTTTGTTTCTATGGATGTTACATTTCAGGAATCTGAGTCCTTTTTCCAAGGTCCTCATCTTCAGGGGGAGAATGATTCACCAGAAGACTCATCACCTTCCTTCTTTGAAACTTCAGTGTCTACTCCTTCACCTGTGTCAGTGTCTCTTCCTCTTGTTCCTGTTCCTAATGTGTCTATGTCTGATCCTCCTGTAACTGATCCTCCTATGACTGATACATCAAGTACACAAGAGATACGGAAGATTGTAACACCTGAATTGGTATATCAAAGAAGGAAACAGCCCACATTGCCTCAACAGCAACCTCAATCGTCAGAACCACTGGTAAGTCCTGAATCTCATATTTCTGATCATGATACTTCTAATGACTTACCCATTACTACTGCTTCTGATGATTTACCCATTGCTTTAAGAAAAGGAAAAAGATCTTGTTCCAAGAAATCTTGTTCTTCCTGTCCCTCTTGTACTCAATACCCTATCTCCCATTTTGTTTCCTCTGCTAATCTTTCTGTGCAGCACAAAAGCTTTGTTTCAGCACTAGATTCTACTTCAATCCCAAAATTAGTACATGAAGCTTTGAAAGATGGGAATTGGGCTCAAGCCATGCAAGAGGAGATGAATGCGTTGGAGAAAAATAAAACATGGGAGGTTATTGATAGACCCAACGGAAAGAAAGCAGTAGGGTGCAGATGGGTTTATGCCCTAAAATATAATTCTGATGGCACTCTTGAGAGATACAAGGCTCGATTAGTCGCCAAAGGTTACACTCAAACCTATGGCATTGATTATGAAGAAACCTTTGCTCCAGTTGCAAAGATGAATACAGTGAGAATCTTGTTGTCCCTTGCTGCCCATTACAATTGGGATATAAATCAATTTGATGTGAAAAATGCTTTCCTCAATGGTGAGTTAGAAGAAGAAGTCTACATGGAAATCCCGCCTGGTTTTGATTCTGTGAAGGGGGAAAATAAAGTTTGTCGATTAAAAAAGGCCTTGTATGGATTGAAGCAGTCACCTCGTGCTTGGTTTGGAAGGTTTACTAAGGTTATGATGACCTTAGGATATAGACAGAGTCAAGGAGATCACACTCTTTTCTTCAAGCACTCCCAAAACGGGAAGCTTACTGTGCTCCTTGTATATGTTGATGATATTATTATCACAGGTGATGATTTTGTGGAGAGACAGATTCTGCAGACACGGCTTGCCTCTGAGTTCGAAGTCAAAGACCTTGGGAAACTGAGATATTTCCTAGGGATAAAAGTAGCTCATTCAAGCAAAGGAATTTTTATCAGCCAAAGGAAATATGTTCTTGATCTTCTCAAAGAAGCAGGAAAGCTCGGGTGTAAACCCTCTAATACTCCTATTGAGCAGAATCACAAGATGGGCTATGAAGAAGAGAGTCCTCCAGTTGATAAAGGACAATATCAACGGCTAGTTGGGAAATTGATATATCTGGCCCATACTAGACCAGACCTAGCTTATGCTGTTAGTGTTGTCAGTCAGTTTATGCACGATCCAAAGGAAAAACACATGCAGGCAGTAGAGAGAATTCTTCAGTATCTTAAAGGTACTCCTGGTAAAGGATTGTTATTCCGACGTGATGGCAATCTATCTTTAGAAGTCTACACAGATGCTGATTATGCTGGATCCGTGACTGACCGTCGTTCTACCACTGGTTATTGCATGTTTCTTTGCGGTAACTTGGTGTCATGGAGAAGTAAGAAACAAGATGTGGTTGCCAGATCAAGTGCAGAAGCTGAATTTCGAGCTATGGCTCAAGGCATTTGTGAGTTACTGTGGCTGAAAATTGTACTTGATGATCTCAAAATAAAATGTGAGGGACCTATGAAGCTGCTATGTGATAATAAGTCCGCTATTTGTATAGCTCATAATCCAGTTCAACATGATCGGACTAAACATATTGAGGTCGACCGCCATTTCATCAAAGAGAAACTTGATAGCGGGTTGATTACCACTGAGCGTCAATTAGCTGATCTATTAACAAAGGGGCTTCCTTCAGACAGATTTCAAGAACTTACTAGCAAGCTGGGAATGATAAATATCTATTCCTCAGCTTGAGGGGGAGTGTTGTAAATAATATTGATTTAGTTATTATTTAGTTTTTATTTAGTCATTTATTGTTGTATTGGGCCAAGCCCTTTGTTGTATTGGGCCAAGCCCATTAGGTTAAAAGTAGGTCAAATATTCTCTATAAATAGAGAACCCTTTGTACAGATTATTTACAATTCTAAAATATATCAGAATACCCTTTTTCAAGTATAATTTATATTCCTATGGCAGTTGTGAACCAGGCAAACATGGCAGCGACTGTTTGAAGGACCTCCATTTGTATAGGTCCACTGTTGGAGCACTTCAGTATGCCACCATCACTTGACCTGAAATTTCCTGTTGTATTAATAAAGTCTGCCAGTTTATTATATTTACAACAGCCACTAGAGTCACATTGGAAGGCTGTTAAAACACATACTGTGTTATTTGAAAGGTACAACTATGCATGAATTGCTTCTTGAGCCAGGTGTCAGCCCAAACTTGGTCTCTCTTCGGGCCTTTTGTGATTCTAACTGGGCATCAACCCAGATGCAGAACTATCTCTAGTGCTTGTGTTTTCTTCGGACCAAACTTAATATCTTGATGGTCTAAAAAGCAGCCTCTAGTTGCACATTCCAGTACTAAAATACCGCAGCTTGGCTTTGACACCTCAGAACTCCTCTGGATCCAAACCTCACTGATCTACATGTGCCGGTCACAACTCCAGTTATACACTCTGACAACTTGAGTACAGCCTCTCTCTCTCTCTCTCTCTCTCTCTCTCCAGTTCTCAACAAGAGCTTGATTGTTGCTCTTGTCCTTGCTGAAGACCAACTTGCTGATGGTATTACCAAGCTATTGTCCTAGATCAAGTTCTCTAGTCTAAAAGACAAAATCAGGGTGTATGATTAACTTACAATTTCTTTATCCACCCTTGAGTTAGAGAGGAGAGTGAGGGCTGTAAAGTGTAGTTGTGTTCTGTATCTAATATAAATTATTTCATAGCAAGTGCTCAGAATCAGAAGAAAATAACAAAAAACACGCTTTTAAAAAATACTAAGTTATCTCAGTTTTCTCTCTTATGTTCTAAACTTTTTCTCTCTGTTTCTTTCATTTTTTTCGTCAATCACTAGTTTCAATATTCTGTGACAACAAATCAGCTATCAGCATTGCCCATAATTTGGCTCAACATAGTAGAAGTAAACATGTTGAGATGAACCAGCTTGTTGCAAGGAAAAACTAGATATTGGATTTATCAACACAACTTATGTTTCTTCAATGGTTTAGCTAGCAGATATGTTAACTAAAGGACTGCCTATAGAGAGGTTTCAAGATCTTACTAGCATGTTGGGAATGATAGATATCCATTGACCAGTTTGAAGAAGACTGTTGTAAATATTAAAGGAATAATTGTGCAATTATTGTAGATTTTTTTTTCCTTTTATAAGACATTTGATAGGACGGATTATAGAGCATATTTATTTATTTTGTGTTTCCCAAGAATTAAATATTATGAAAGTAATTACTCACATCTATCTATATATTGTAACACTTTGTACTTGAATATTTAAGTAATAATCAGTATTTTTCCATTCCAGTCATTATTATCATGTATTAACAACATGGGAATGGCTTCTCTCATGATTATTCATGGTTAAATACTTAAACCTGATTCTATACCGACAGCAAAATGGATATCATCTTGTGCAGATGAAAAATTAGACAAAGTCATCATCTTTAGAAAAGAATATTTCCAAATGAATCGATTGTGATAAATGAACAAAAATTTCTTGCCCTACACTACCTTGGATTTGCATTTTCTATGCATGTAGGAGTGACAATCTTTGTCACCACAGGTCTACCAACTGTAAGGGTCCCTGTTTTATCGAACACAACTGTGTTTACCATGGCAAACTTCTCTAGAATGTTTCCACCCCGCAAGAGTAATCCTCTTTTAGCCCCCAAAGAAGTTCCAACCTGTTAAACACACGAAATTGTAAAATAGGGCTTAGTTTCAAACACAACGATAACTAAGGTGGTGACAGATGTGGTCCCTATGTAGGTCTTACCAGCACAGCAGTAGGTGTGGCTAACCCAAGTGCACATGGACAAGCAACAACCTGCATCAATAAACAGTTATAAGAACTTTCATATAAGCAATATCTGAAATTTGAAAGCTCAAAATAGGCTTATTTTCTATTAAGGAAAACAAGAAAGAGCAGCTGCGTTGTGTACCATACTTAATTTTACCTTCCAAAGTCACTCAGCTATATAAAATGAATCAGTAAGTTGGACTAAGAGCTACTTTTGAACCTATATTAACACAAAAGTGCCTGCGTCTATTAAACAGGAAAAAGTTCCTGCATGAAAGGATAACTCTTAACTCCAATTTTTACTTCTTTAGCTATTGCAATTGCAAATTCCTTTTCTTTAAATGCTCCCCACAAATATGACATGCAGCATTCAAAAGGACATATGAAATGACATATCTGTAGCCAAAAAAAGAGGCATACGGAGATATGGAGCTAAAGAAGAATATACACTGACACACAGATAAAATGGATTTGAATAATTTTAAAGGGACAAATAATGGACCCTATGTTTCTAACACAGAACTAGCCCGCTTACATCAAATCATATGAATCTTGAAGCATAAACTAAAAAAGAAAAGAAAAAAAAAGATCCTACCACAACTTTGTGCGAAAATGTTCAATTCTTCACCATCCGTATTGAGTAGTTCATCTTGTAGCTATTTTGCACGTATTATAGAGTTGTACAGTTAGTAGGAGTGCAGTTGGTACAGTTGTCAGTTAGGTTTATTATAACAGTAACTGTCAATTGTCAGTCTTTTAGACAGTTACTGTTAATATGTTAGAATTCTGTTGAGATGACTCTGCTATATATTACATTCGTACTCAGATCTAACTACTGAATAATCAATACACTCATTCATAACTGGTTCTGATTTCTCCATCTGACTTTGCATTTTTTTCCTTCACTTTCTTTAACTTTCTCTCTCAATTCTATCATAGTATCTAGAGTTTCTTTTTTGGTTTTCCAAAAAAAGAGTTTCTTTTCGATCCTAGTCAATGGCTTCCAACCTTCCAATCAACACTACACCTCCAAGTTTAAATCAGAATTTGTAACAACCAAGGCAATATTTCTAAAGGAATTAAAAGGAACAGCAACCAAATAACCAGATTGTATTTTCTGAAAACAGAATCAGGGTTGAATTACAATGGAACTAGTAATTACTCCAACAGTGTTGTTACAGATTAAAAGAAGACGATAACATGGATAGGTTCATAAGGAATTTGAGAGCCCCCGTTCTCTCCCAAGGTGTCTAAGTCCCAATGGCCCAAAAGATAATGCATTATTCCCCTTCTCTAACCATTTCTCCAACAGAATTCACACGATTCACTCCAATTGTTGAGCTGGCAGCAGCTGAGTCAGCAATAGGTTGTGATTCCCTGAACCTTTCCCTACGATACACCTTAATCGTGGGTGGGTGCATATCAAAATTCTAGTCTGATTTCTGTTCCTGTGCTTGCTCCTATCACATTCTCCCAAGCTCTATTTGTGAAGCAAGATGAGAACAACTTTTTACTCTGGAAGTAGCAAGTCAAGATTCAAGAATGTAATCAAAAGGATCCAATTGCAAGATATGGGACTTGGAGTCCCGCATAAAAAACATAAGGTTATGATGTGAGGTTTATATAAACTTTGACTTTGGGCTCTCCTACCTTATGAGCTAGCTTTTGGGTTGACGCTCTCCCAAGGTTCGTATCAATTGGTATTAGAGCTTCTATTATGTCTCCCAGTTGCAATCGAGCGACGCGGCTGGTGACACTAGCATTGCAATATTCACCTAGGGCTAGAAAAGGACTAGCGCAAAGCCAAGCCACGTGGGCGTCGGGGGTGCGGAGCGTGGTGGGATGTTACGATCCTATTGTAAGGTATGAGACTTAGAGTCCTACATCGGAAACATAAGGTTCTAGTGTTGAGTTTATATGGACTTTGGGTTCTTCTACCTTACAAGCTAACTTTTAGGGTGAGGTTCTCCTAAAATTCGTATCAATTGATATTACGATCCTATTGTAAGGTATGAGACTTGGAGTTCCACATCAGAAACATAAGGTTCTAGTATGTGGTTTATATGGACTTTGACTCTCCTACCTTAGAGTTAGCTTTTAGGGTAAGGTTCTCCCAAGGTTCATATCAATTGGTATCAGAGCCTTCCACTATGTTTCCCAATTGCAATTGAATGGTGCAGCTGGTGACGCTAGCGTTGTAGTGTTCGCCCAGGACTAGTAAAAGACTAGCACAAAGCCAGGCCGCATGGGCGCCGGGGCTGCAGAGTGTGGTGGAATGTTAGGATTCAATTGCAAGGTATGAGACTTGGAGTCCCACATTAGAAGCGTAAGGTTCTGATGTGGGGTTTATATGGACTTTGAGCTCTCCTACCTTACGAGCTAGCTTTTGAGGTGAGGCTCTCCCAAGGTTCGTATCAACCATTAACTTCAGAATTTCGTTGTGAACCCGCCAATTTTTCCAATTCTTTTCTAAAGCAGATTGTGCAAGTGGGGAAGGTTATCTGGCTCAGAAGCAGCAGAATCAACAGTTATTTTCCCTGGCTGCTATCTTCTGCGTATGATACATTGCTTACAATAGCTTGATGTTAACAATGTTTTCTTAGATGACCTGCTAGATGAAGAGGTCTACATGTAGTAGCCCCCTGGTTTTGAGGTTGAGGACAGATATTTGGTGTGCATACTGAAAGCTTAAAACAAGCACCAAGGGCTTTGGTTTGAGCGCCTTGGAAACACCTTAATCAGTTTTGGGTTTCGATCCCGTAAATGTGATCCCTCCTCATTCATTTTCACTAAATTACAAGAAACAAATATTCTAAGTTCTAGTATATATAGATGACATTATTGTAACAGGTAGCTCACTGCCACTGATTGATAAGCTGATCACAAAATTTGACTCAGTATTTGCACTAAAGCTACTTGGAAAACTAGGCTATTTCTTGGGTATTGAAGTTAAGCACTTTCCAAGTGGCTCTCTACTATTATCTTAAGGGAAATACATAAGGGACTTGCTTGCTAAGGCATAAATGACGTTAAGCACTTTCCAAGTGGCTCTCTACTATTATCTTAAGGGAAATACATAAGGGACTTGCTTGCTAAGGCATAAATGACTGATGCCAAGATGTAAACTTACAAAATTTAGAGCCCACTCAGTATATGTCTATTGCTGGAGTACTTCAATATGCAGAACTGAATGTCCCAGTTGCAGTTCCCTGCCCATGATCAATATACAGACATCCAAACCAAAGCCCAGTCCACCAACAGATTCTGTGAACTGAGAAACAAACTCAGGGTGTGTGATCAATTCTTTGACTCACCCTGAGTTTCGGGGGATATTAGAGTAGTTATTCTTATAGCTATTTCACACGTGTTATAGAATTGTACAGTTAGTAGAGGTTCAGTTAGTACAGTTGTCAGTTAGGTTTGTTCTAATAGTAACTGTCAGTTATCAATTACTGTTAAACAGTTACTGTTAGTCTGTTAGAATTCTGTTGGGATGACTGTACTAAACTTGTACTCAGATCTAACAACTGAATATCAACTATCTATTTAACTTTCTCAGATTTTCTATCATTTTCTCTGCGCACTCTCAATTCTATCAAAGCGCATCTAGGTTAAACTTTAGACCAATGGTTCCCAACAACTCTTATTCCAAGTCAAAGAATTTCAATCTGAAGGACCAAGCCACTATGTGAGACACAAAAATATAGATGAAGGCAAAATATGCTCAAGCTGCCATGTGCCTCAAAATACATGATGGGATATATAACGTCCATGGAAGACATTTGAAAACATACCAGAACACTGCAAGCAAGCTGCAAAGCCAGTGAAACTGCACTTCCTTGATATACAGCAGCAGGTAAAATGTGTGTGCCTAACAGACTCCAGAATATAAATGTGGTAGCAGAGACCGCCATCACTCCATAAGTGAAGTGTCCAGCCACCTGGACACACAAAAAGCTGTTACTCGATTTATTGAAAAATATATAAGCATAAAGATAATTGAGAATACCAATAATACCAGCAAAGGAACACATACACAGATAAGCATAATTTGCAACTTCTTAAATCACTAATAGACTTCCAACACAGATATACTTAAATGTACCACAAATTTCATTTTTTATATTCATTTCCTCCATTTGTCATGATCTAAATAATCATTTTCTTCCTTAAAGTTCTATTTAAATCATCTTGACATTAATATCAACAACACCTTTATCCCTTACTAGTTGAAGTAGGCGATCGATAAACCCAAATAAAAAGTAAGAAAAAGAACACATTTATCTTGGCAAGAAATGGTACCTTTTTTATTTTTTTTTTCTGAACATGAAAAGAAGACCTTTACTAGAAAGCCAAGTGAAAATTTGCAAAAAGAGAAAAATGTTATCTATACAAGGTATAACAGCTGTGATGCTCTGAACCCCTAGTAAGGTCAACTATAACAAACCCCCTCTCCTTCCTCTCCCCAAAAACCAAAAAAAAAAAACAGAAGAAAAAAATCCTGTACAGACTTCAAGCTTCACATCTTATCTGAACCTAAACCATTCTTATTATTAGAGTATCTGTTCTGTTAGGCTGTCACAACAGTTTAACAGTTTGTGACCTTGTAACAGCTAACAGATTCAGTTAGATGTCATACGCAGTTTACAGATATTCAACTATTTATGTACTGCTGTGTAAATCACTTGATCAGTTCAGTCTACACTCTGAATCATTCAGAGTAATTTGATTTTCTCTCTCTGCAGTTTCTCATACTTTCTGGGAAAGTTCTAATTCCATTAATTCTGAACTTGTAACACTAATAATAACCAGGTTCCATAATTTTTTGGTCAATTTATCAAGACATTTTATTCTTCCAAGCCAGAAGAGAGCATCAATTATAATGCTAAACCTGTGGATCAGGCATCCCAATTCAAGGAAACTAACTCTGGCCACTAGCCAGACAACTTAATGTAGAAACAAAACAAAACAAACTTGCTATAAAAGAAATATGAGATTCAGTAAGAGAACCTTGTCAGCCAACCGCTGTACAGGAGCTTCCCTACTTTGGGCCTCTTCAACTAGACGAACAATGTCTGCCATAGAAGTCTCACCACCTGGTCTCTGCACTTCAATCGTAAGAGTTCCATTAAGATTTATAGTTCCAGCTGCAACCTCACTCTGCAGATATAAAACCCATCAATCAGTTACATAAATCAACTTCCCCATACTGCTACACGTACAGAAATGTGCAAGGTTCAATCATATATCCACAGAAAATGAAGTATGCCCATCCTCTGTTAAGATGCAAATGTACAACACGAACATTAAAAACCAAATTGTTTTCCTGTTTTATGATAAACCACACACAATGCTCTGATGAATTGAGAGCCAATTATCACAGCATACACCATTGTTCAAAGGAACCAACAATATCTACAAGTTGTGTCAGAAGCCAAAAAAATCTCAGATTATAACAAATTCTGTCAAGATAAAATGTACCCCAGGTACTTTTGTTACTGGCAGTGGCTCCCCAGTGAAACTTGAGTCATCTACAGTGCTTCTACCAGCTCTCACAATTCCATCAGCTGGAATACGGTCCTAGAGAATGAGATATATGGGTTAAAGGGCAAAGCAAGTAGCTATGACAAATATGTTGTGCATGTCACTTGTAAAAATTTAAGTGGAATGTTTTCAAACTTCAAATCACTACTAGCAATAGTTTTGCAGCACAAACAGCATCATACTTCAGGAATATGGAAGCAAAGCGGTTAGATGGGTAATCCCTCTTTCCCCCTTTTCCCCCTGTAGTGGACATAAAACACATCAATATTATCATTTTTTCTTTTTCTTTAATATTTCACTAGATACTTTTATCACCCAAAGATACTCCAAACAAATTCGGCCTTTCTGAAAGAATACACAACCGAAGCTTCATCAAATACCAAAAAAGGGTGAAGAAGCTACTAACTATACGATAATATGTAGATTCTAATATTACTTACTCCAGGTAATACAATAATTTGGTCTCCAATAGAAAGACTGTCAGAAGGAACTTCAACAACTGAGCCAATCTCTGTTTCCCCATTGTTAACTACAAGGCGAGCTTTTGATGGCAATAAGCTAAGAAGTCCTGTCATATCACTGGTTGCTTTAATTTTAGCCCTCTGTTCAAGATTTCTTCCTAACAAGACAAATGCAATTAGCATAATTGGTTCCTCAAAGAAAGCCTTCCAACCCTGCACAAAAAACACCATTTAATACAATAAAACTTATATCAATTGCTATCCCATGTCCAGCAGCATAATTTCAATGAAACAAATATACTTTCTAGCTTCTGGTTAATATGTAAATGCAAGCACATGATGCGCATCTAAGTCTAACCAATAGTTGGTTTCCATTCTTGTTTGGATCAGGGAGGAAAAAAAACGGGGGCATCATTTTGGAAATTTGGATCTCATTTAAGGGTAAAATGGTGAAAAAAAAGGACAGCTGGATTAATGAGGTGTAAAACAGGTATTTACTTGCGGTTTTTTTTTTTTCTCTGAAAAGAAGAGAGGGAAAACGTGTTTTCTTTCCCTCCTCTTTTTCCACGTTTTCTTTCCCTCTTTTTCCACATCTTCTTTCCCTCATTTGTGTCATCTTCTTTTCTACTCTTTGTTTCTGCTGAGAAGAAAAAAACCCACGAGCATGCTGTTCTGTTGAAGTTCCTGGTTGAAGTTGAAAACAAACGACGCACTCAGCCCCAGTTTTCTGGTTCACAACTGTTCTGTTTACTGGTTCGCGACTGTTCTGGTTTGAGAACAATTTTTTTCCTTCATCATTTTCTGGTTTGCGACGCAACAGCCACTCCATTGAAGGCCCTTCTTTTCTCCCTTCTGTTTTGCCACTGTTCTGTTTTGTTTTGCCTTTTGCCTCTGTTTTTCTTCAACCCCCGTTATTTTCTGGTCAAGGCATCGCAAAATATCCAACAAAACAGCCCAGCTTCCGTGGCTTCTTGCGGATTGGTAAAACCCACCGGTGAAAATCTTGATATGGCGTGGCAATAGAATAGTTTAAAAGATATCAATAGTAAGAGATATGTAACATGTGATTTTTGTGGGAAAGTTACAACGGGTGGCATCACAAGAGCCAAAAGACACCAGATTGGGTTGAAGGGGGATGTGGGTCCTTGTACAAAAATCTCACCCGAAATTAAGAAGATTATGAAAGATGCTTATGTGCAAAAGCTTGCTGAAAAGGATGCATAGAGTGTTGATATACATGAAGCTGATGATATGTTAGAAGAGGTGCAATAAATTCAACACATTAAAAATGGGAAAAGGAGTGAGACAACTTCAAGTGAAGCCTCAAATTGTAATACTGCTGCTGCTGCCAAGAGAGTTAAAGGCCCCTTGGATTTACTTTTTTTTAAGAAACCAGAAGCAAGCATTAAAGTGGGCAAAGGAAAGAGGCAAACAAGCATAAATTATGCTTGTGATAAAGAAGCAAGGGCTAGAACTATTCAATACATTGAAAGATTTTTGTGTAAGAATGGAATACCTTTCAATGTTATACGTTCAAAAAGCTTCAAGTACATGGTTGAAGCAATTGGGAATTATGGTCCAAGTCTAAAGCTCCCAAGTTATTATGAGTACAGAATTCCTCTACTTAAAAAGGAATTGGATTACACCAAGGATTTATTAAAAGATGAGCCAACTATGGATGTTTCATTATGTCGGATGGATGGACTGATAGAAAGAATAGGACGTTGATAAATTTCTTGGTGAATTCTCCATCCGGGTCTATGTTTGTGAAGAGCACTGATGCTTCTTCTTATGTCAAGAGTGGAGCAAAATTATCTGAGCTTTTAGATAATTTTGTTGAAGAGATCGGGGAGAAAAATGTTTTTCAAGTGGTGACCGGCAATGGAAGCAATTATGTATTGGCTGGTAAGACACAATTTGTTTAATTTAACCTCATTTAATGTTAATTTTTATTTTACTTGTTACTCATTTTAGGTTGTTTAATTTGTTCTTAGGCAAATTGTTACAAGCGAAGAGAGAAAATCTGTTTTGGACTCCATGTGTTGCACATTGTTTGGATTTGATGTTTGAAGATATTGGAAAAATTGAGAGAGTAAAAAAGAAATACAAAAAGGCATCAAGCTTGTTAGGTTCATTTATAATCACACATTGGCATTGAACACAATGAGGAAGTATACAAGCAAGACTAAATTAGTTAGGCATGGAGTGACAAGATTTGCTACAACTTTCCTCACATTGCAAAGGCTTCATAAACAAAAAAATAATCTTAGAAAGATGTTCACATCAGATGATTGGCTGAAATCAAATACAACAAAAGACCCTAAGGGAAAAAGGGCGACTGACACTGTACTTATGCCATCATTTTGGAATGATGTTATTCATTCTTTAAAGGTTATGGGGCCTCTTGTGCGGGTGCTTAGACTTGTTGATAATGAAAGAAGGCCCGCAATGGGATATATATATGAAGCAATAGATAGGGCCAAGGAAGCAATTAAAAAATCTTTCAATGGAAATGAAGATAAATACAAGGATGTTTTTGCTATAATTGATAAAGATGGGACTGCCAACTTCATCATCCATTACATGTTGGAGGTCATTATCTAAACCCCGAATACTATTATGCTAATCCAAAGATTGATGATGATGCTTAATTGATAGTTGGACTATATAAATGCATTGACAAGCTAAGTGCAAATGAGGAAGAGGTGGACAAGATACATGGACAATTGAAAAAATATAGGAGTGCATAAGGCCTTTTTGGTATGAATACAGCAATAAGACAAAGGAATAAAATCGCTCCTGATAAGTAAAAGCACACTTATTTGATCACTTTAAGCTTTTATTTAACAAGTGGTAATGTTAACAAGTTGTAATTTGCATTACAGCTCAATGGTGGAAGTCGTATGGAGCACATGTTCCAAATTTGCGAAACCTTGCTATTAGAGTGTTAGGCTTAACTTGTAGCTCATTGGGATGTGAGCGTAATTGGAGTATTTTTGAGCATGTAAGTACTTGTTAAATGATTTTGTTTGTAGAGTTTCATATCATGATTGTGAAACTAATATTCTTTGGAAATTGTAAACTAGATTCATTCTAAGAAGAGAAGCAGGCTTGAGCATCAAAGGTTGTAAGACTTAGTCTTTATTAAGTATAATCAAGCTCTTAAAGAACGTTTTGAGAGTCGTGATTTGGTTGATCCTATTGTCCTAAAAGACATTGATGAAAGTAATGAATGGGTGGTGGGAGAAGTGGGTGAAGATGCAGAAAATGAGTTCGTATTTGATGATGATACATTGACTTGGGGAGATGTTGCTAATGTAACTAGGGCTAATGAGCCTATAACTTACACTAGGCAGCATACTAGATTCAGGAAGGAAGCTGCCTCTATGCCATCAAGCTCTAGGTGAATAAGGGTTGAACAGATTGAAGGTGATAACGAAGAAATAGAAGATGAGGATGAACAAATCTACAAATTTAATACTAGTGAAGAAAGTGAGGGTGGAAAAGAACAAGGCTTTGAAGAAATGTTTGATGATGATTCTGATTAGTTCTTTTCCTTCTTGACTTTGATAGAGCAATTTGTATTTGACTCTACTTGGATCCTTTATGTTCCTAGAATATTATTAATTTAGTTTCCTTCAATGAACTAGTATGTTGCTTCCTTTATGTTCCCATTAATCCTTGTTTTGAATGTGTAGTATCATACTTTTCATTACTTATTTCCTCCTATTTTGGGTGATTTCTTATCTTATAACATTTATATAGCATTTATATATGTGGTATAATTTATTATAAGTATTTATATGGATTTCACAGTAGAGGCTTTACTGCTACCTGCTATACCGCTATAGCGTTTTTGGAGTCGGCCGCTACCTGCTATTTAAAACTGTTGAGATATATAGTCCCACATTGGTTGTATGTGCAACTAATGTGGAATTTTATAAGGTCTTGGGCACTCCCACCCTTTGAGCTAGCTTTTGGGGTGGTGTATCCCAAGGTTCTTTACATGGTATCAGAGCCTCGCTGCCCCCCACTTTCTTTGTAGTGGAATCTCCACATGTAGGTGGACTTGTATGTTGTCCACCCTTCAAGCCCAGTGGGCTCTCGTGTGAGGGGGCGTGTTGAGATATATAGTCCCACATTGGTTGTATGTGCAACTAATGTGGAGTTTATAAGGTCTTGGGCACTCCCACCCTTTGAGCTAGCTTTTGGGGTGGTGTATCCCAAGGTTCTTTACAAAAACTATGTCTAGATGGCATAAAGGCTAAAACCAAACCAAACTAGACTATGAAGGAATGAGTAAACTATTATCTCTTTATTTATTGCTAATAACAAAAATACAATCCACTAGAACAAATTAACTGACTCTATCAACCTACTTGTACATGTGCATGCATGCAAGTATATACACTTATATGTATCTCTTAATTGTTAAAAGACATCAAAGAGTGTATTAAGCCCAACCCAATCTAAAACAAACTTGAAGAGAATTCCAAAATAATAATGTGTGAACTGCTATTGACATTGCAAAGGGCAAACTATAGCTACATGGCAACAATAAATTTGTCATAACTGCATCAGTCAAAACTAAATGACTGACAATAAGCCAGTAATTTGAGTTTTCCATTTTCTTTAATTAGTTCGAGGTAATTGAGTTGCTAAATGTAGCCATCAAATAAATGAATTCAACATTAGAAGTTGGAGATAACAAACTTTAAAAGACATTTTACCAAATTTGGCAGCAAGACAGCAAATAAACTGACTGTAAATGATGATAAAGCTCCAAGACCAACTAAGGTGTTCATGTTTGGCGCCCTTTTAAGAAGGCTTTTTAAGCCATCAAGGACAAGTTGACGTCCAGGACCAAGCAATGTAAACAAAGACAATGATAGATGAAACCCAATGGAATGAAATGCATGGATCCATGGTGCCTTCGCTGCAAAGAAATGAGAGAGATGGCCAACCAGACAGACAGCACAAAGAGCCCAAGAAACAACTAGCTCGCGACCTTAAAACAGCATACAAAAAAGAAAGGAAGTATGTCAATTAGCTTCAGAAATCACAGCAGACGAATCATTAGAGAACCATTCAGAAATATCATATGTAGGCTCTTGTTGCTACATTTTACATAGAAAAGATTTAATGGGATGCTTACCACTTTCTCTTAATTGTCTATGCCTTTCCTCCGTCTTTCTTTCAAATATTTGGAGAAAACTGTCTCTTGCTGAATCTGCACTTTCAGAAACAGCAGAATAGTTAAGCAATCAAACACGTCAATGGAGAAAGCTGGGGTGATTCAGACTCCATACATGCCATAAGCTTCAACCTAGCAAAAGAATTTGATCACTCTGAAAATTGTAACTTGAACTCAGAGATGAAATTTAAAAATGACAAGCATCAGACTACTATAACTAGATTCGCCAAAAAATATTAGGAAAAATTACCACTATATCATTCCTGATTAAAATATTTTATGTTTAGGAAAATTAACCACTCATCAGGTTAATGATTTTTGAATAGTGGCTAATAAGTAACCACTTATAGCCACTCTAAGAGGTTAATTATTCTTATGCTGGAAATATTTTTACCAAAATATTCCTTTCTTGTTTGCAACTTTCTCAAAATTTTATACATTCAAGTAGCAGAATAATTTATGATTCCAATGAGGCCTCCATGGCAACAAGTTCTGTGGAAAAAGCTAATCTCCCAAGAATATAATGAGGAAAAATGTGCTAGCCGGTAAACAAGTATAAGAGGGTGGTGATTCATGCAATCTAAGGTATAACTAACTGTCCACAATCCTCACACCACCACCCAGGGTGCCCCTGTAGTTCTGTAGCCTCCAAAAATAAAATAAAGCAATAAAAAAAAAGTAAAATAGAAGCAATTAAAAATAACTATCAGCAATAGACAAGGATTTACATCAGGTTCCCATCACAGTGTTTTGCAATATAATCCATTTTCCCGGTTATTGGCAGAATTGGTTTGCATAGTGGTCAAGTGACTGGTAGGAGGTGACAAATATGCAAAAAGGGAATATGGTCTATAAAGTAAAAAAGAAATTCTTTATGCTTTAATCCAAAATCAGAAAAGTTTGAATCATCGTTATCATCATAAATGATAAAGAGAACTCAATGAGGGGGAGGAAAACACATTATGATAGGAGAGTAATACAGTTACAACTTAAAACCATAATTAAGGTATCGAATGTTTACAATACTAAATTCTGGAAGACATGAGCTGAGAGAATTTGATCACAAAGAACCAAACTTGGACTGGGAATAAACCAAAAAAATTACTCAGAAGAACATGGTCTGGACTACAACAGGCCTGGAACAAAGGACAAGAGAGACGTGGAATTTTTTAGCTAGGTTAGGATCATGAGATAATTTGATGCAATGTCAAACGTAGAAAAGTGTAGGCAAAACTATGCTCTCCTCTGGGAGAATTCTCATATAATATATTTGATACAAGTTTATTTTTAGTCCTGTAAATCATCTAAACTACCAATACAGAATTATAGACCTATCCTACAGCTGGGCTATCCTAATTGAGTAGAGAATAAAAGATTTACAAATTTAAAGCTGTACAAACATAGACTTTGCTGACTTTAAATATCCACCTGTACTACACTATGAATTTGCTGGTTTTAAATAGCCAGCTATTGTGCCAATTCCTTTGACACAAAGGTCACGTGATCAACTCCTCTGCCATATCTTTTTTCAGCCAGAAAACACAAAAAGAAAAAATCCACTATGTTGATAATTATTAGCTATACATTGGTTTAGTTTTTGTTTTCTTGAATACTTTATTCATTGCTGTATTACTGTAGCTTATCATGAACCTGAGTACACTGAATACTTTCTTAGCCTTTTCTGTTACTTAGTAGCATTAGCTGTTTCTAACTCAGCAGATGAGTCAGCCTTGTTCAGCTCTATAAATAGAACTTGTTTTATACATAAATATTCAGTTTTCAGATTCACATCAAGGTGATCTAAATTTTCTCTTACTTTCTCCCTCACCATGAATTTCTCTCTCAATTCGAATAATGATCTCAAAAATATACCTCGAAGGCTAGAATTATAACCACAGCTAGTTAAATGCTCTGCAAGTGCCTCCCCTAATTGCTTTTGCCAATTTGGTGCAGTTTTAGCTTCAGATACAGGCCAAACTATTGCTGTCTCTGTTGTTAAATTTACACTAGCAGATGACACTTGTGGCTGTCCATTAACATAAAAAGTAAAGAGCCAGGATTTAGATTACTGTAAACAAAAAAATTATATACGCACTTGCATTTAAAGAATATATATAATTTTTTATCCACCTTACATATCTTTTCCTTAATTTTTCCCTTTTGTCCAGAAAAAGAGATTATCAAGGAGAAAAAACCAACACAGAATGCCAAGTTTACTCTTCCAAACAAACTAATTTTCAAACTTACGTTTTTAGAAGTAAGTACCTAAAGAGTAAATTCAAATTAAGAATTATCAGACACTGAACTACTCCATTGTTTTGAAACCTCTGAGCGTGATTTTTCCACTTCAATGGTAATCATCTCCAAGAACATCCACAGACTTACGAAATTAAAAATACAGCATAAATGTCCAATTTCAATCAAGTATCCGCATAAACTTATTAGAAAACCAACAACATGACACCAAACATCTTAAAAATAAGATAATAGAAGCATCAACACTAAATCAAATCCAAAACTCAACAACATACTCGACTTTCCAGGATCCTTTTCACAGTCGCTGCACATCCTCCGCACACCATTCCCTATCACACACAGAGAAACAGAACTAAATAATCAAAATTCAGAAAAGAAGAATAACGCAAAAAACCTCGCAAAGAGAAGAGTCCACACCGACACATCGAGAATGATAAGATCAGGAGAAAGTGCAGAAAACTCCTGAGCCGCGTCAACAACCAATTTGAGATTACCATCTCCAGACTCACCGCCAGAACTTCCGCCTCCGCCTCCACCGTCTCCGGCTCCAGCGCCGCCATTACCACTGCCGGCGGAAGAAGCAAACGAAGCAGCGGAGGTCGAAACGCAGCGCAGAGGGCATGGTGTTCGCTTGAGCAGCGCACGGAATTTGGCGAGCGACGGCGACGACGGCGCAGAAGCGAAAGAGGCAGAAGAGCACGGAATGCGGCAGCAGTTGTTGTAGGAAGCAACAATGCATTTGAGGTTGCGGCGGAGGAGCGCGCGTTGAGGAGCTCCGGTCAAATGACGGTGGAGTGCTCTGAAAAGCACCATCTGCGCCGTCGTGGTGACGGAGAACGCAGAATCCATTGGATTAGGGAGGAAAATAGAGAAGAGTCGTTTACTTTTTAGCTATCTTTTATCTTCACTGCGTTGCTTTTCCCATTTTTTATTTTTATTTTTTCTCTTGCTCAAAACTTTCTCCATTTTTTCTTTACACATTATACTTTAACCTGGAATGGATTGATCTCTTTTTCTTACCTTGTGTTAAAATTCAGTCCTTCATTATATATCAATAACCATAAATTCAGTGATAAAGCTCTAAAATGATCATTTTAATTGAATCTGTCAAAAAATAATTAAGATTGAATTCATGACATTGTAAAGAGCCCTTCCCTATTCAGTTTAGCTTCCTCATTACACGTTTTTATATTTATTTTTATTTTTGATAATTATCAATCCGAAGCTCTAGTGAGTCCCCCTAGGCCCTAATCCTATTTCGAGTTTAAGACACTCTTTTAAAACTCCGTTGTATCCCTGGTTGACCCGGGTCAATTCTGACCCCTCCCCTTTGAGGGTTGGGGTAAAAATTAGATCCTATATGCATATCGATCTCTCTGACTCCCAAAACTCGGTCGGATTTCAGTGACTTCCGGGTCAGAGTGGTATCATTGCATGTTTTTTTTTTTAATTTTTTTCTCCAAGAAACAACATTATTTTATTAAAAAAATAAATAAAAATACTTGCAAACTTAAATCTAATTGTTCTCTTCTCTCCTAGTGACCTAAATGTTTTCAATTTTCATCTCACTGCCATGAATCTTCAAGAAAAGTTAAGAATTTTACACCTTCAAATGAAATCCTTACCGTTGTCGATGGAAAACAAAAACTCATTCTTACTTCCTTTAAATTTTTCTGTCAGAGACCTTCTCAAAAGAGGTAGAACTAGGTCAGTGTAGTGACTCTATTAGAATATGAGTTTTGTACTTTGGTATTTTGATACTTTAATTAGGTTGTATAATATTGACTTGTGGTTGTAATTGGTGAATTATGTTAAGTATATTTTGAATCTTTGATGATTGGTGATTTGTTTTTTAATATTTTCATATAGGATATATCTATTTATATTTTTTTAATATATAAAACCGGTTCAGCGTAGTGACCCCCTAACCCCCCGGTTGAACCCGTGACTCCGTGACCCCTGACCTCAGCCGGGTCGATGGCCGGGCCAGGTTTTTAAACACTGGTTTAAGAACATGTTTTGATGTTCTTATTTTTTAAGTTAGAAGTTATTTATAAGCTAAAACTAAAAAAAAGAGCTTAAAAAAAGAAATTAAAAGCTGTTTGAAAATTACATAAAAAATTTAGTTTAAAAATTACTTAAAAGCACATATTTCAAGAAAATTATCTCTCTCTTTCTATCTTTATCACTTTTCATTTAAAAAAAAACACACAATTCAAGAAAAACAAATAAGAGCTTAAAAAATAGCTTCTCCTAGGAGCTTTTAATTTTCAGCTTTTTTCTTCATTATAAAAAAGGAAAAACTTCAAAAACTCCCCTATGAGTTTTCTCAATTATCACTTACCCCCTTCACAATTTTTTTGAATCATTTATACCCCTATTTAAATTTTTTTATCACTTACCCCCCTGATTTAAAATTTCTTTATCATTTACCCCCTCACTTAGAGGGGTAAATGATAAAAAAAACTTTAAGTGAGGGAGTAAATGATTCAAAATTTTGGGGAAGGGGTAAATGATTATGAGAAAAGTTATAGGGGTTTTTTGAAGTTTTCCCTATAAAAAAAAGAGCTTTTCATTATAAGAGTTTTTTCCAAAACCTGTTTGGCCTAGCTTATACTTATAAGTAGCTTCTAGCTTAAAAAAAGGATCCAAACAGGCACTAAGTCTCTTTACCCTTTCACGAATTGCAACTCTCATAAATCGAACTTACTATCATTTGAGCAAGTTAAATCTTGAGATCTAGCTTAAACTTCACTAGACCAATAACTCTTCAATATTTTTTTTATTCTAAGCAGGGTTATTTAGGGTCTGTTTGATGGAAATAATAAGATAGAAATTGATAGGATAAAAGAGTCGGATACGAGTAGAATAGAACATGAGATTGATAAGCTTATATCATACGCTGTTATGATCTACACTAGATAACTAGTCTGATAGAATAATATTATCATATTCGGTGTTTAAGACGAATTATATAATCATGATATGATATAAATAGTTTAAAAATCAATTTTAAAAAATGGGATGGTTATTCTGCCTGCTCCTATTTTGCCTACCTTTGTCTACCCCTTTCATTACCGTTGGATTATATGGTCCATATCTGCGAAATAAAATAAATCCCTTTTCCCCCTTTCTTTCTCCTCATTTCCTTCCACACCTTTTCTCTCTCCTCCCCTTTCTCTCTTCCTCTACGCCATACCGTTTTTTTTCCTTCATCGCTGGTGTCTGCCGTCGTAGACCTCTTTAGCCCCCACCCTCTCCAACTCCATGTGAAGTGAGAAGCTTTTCAACTTCAGTAAAAGAATTTGAAAAAAAAATCAATTTCAATTTATCAATTTTTTCCAAATGCAAATAATCTATCTATGTCTTGCACCATGTTTTAATCAATATTTTAAGAGAATAAGCATTTGCAGGAAAGGTGACCTCTCTTTATTAAGAGAATAACCATCATAAGTATTGGGTTCCTCAATTTGGTCGAAAAGAATGTGGGCATATCGAATGTCTCCGATATGGCGTAGAGGAAGAGAGAAAGGAAAGGAGAGAGACAGGGTATGGGAGGAAATGAGGAGAAAGAAAGGGGAAAAAGAGTTTATTTTATTTCGCAAATATGGACCGTTGGATTAGATTGTAATCGAACGGTAATGAAAGGGGTAGGCAAAATGAGAGTAGGCAGAATAACCCATCCCTTAAAAAATATAAAATTTTGTTAAAAAGGATATTTTTGTCTATTTTTAATTTATTTACAGATTAATTCTTATTTTAAATTATTAAAAAATTTCAAAAGTCATAATTTTAAATTAAATATATTAAAATACATAAATAACTTACAAAATTTAAAAGGGGTTTACATTTCTGCAGTTGTTGTACGTGTAGCAATCAAATACTTGCCATATATATATACTTGAAAGTGTTAAATGCGGGAAATCATAACCATACAAAGGATGAAAGCATTAAATGTGGGGAATCATAACCATACACATGTTGTTGCTGTACGTAAAGTAGCTACAGAAATGATTTTACCAATTTAAAATATATATATATATATATATATATATATATATATATATATATATAGAGAAGAATATTGTAACAACCAATTAGTTTTACTACCAATCAATTTCACCGTTAGATCGATTATGTTGATCCAACAGTTATATTTATTTCCATCTTTGTATGATTATGATTCCCCATATGTAATGTGAAAGCATTAAAAGATGGAAATATATATAGGGAATCATAGCCATACAAAGATGAAAATAAATATAACTGTTGGATCAACATAATCGATCTAACGGTGAAATTGATTGGTAGTAACACTAATTGATTGTTACAATATCTTACCCCTATATATATATATATATATATATATATATATATATATATATATATACACTCACAAAATAATTTTTAAAAAAATAAATTTTAAATTATTTGTCAATATTGGTGATCAGTAGTTAGTGACAATGGGTTGTGTTGGTGGTGGTTGTGGAGATGGTGACAATATGTGGTGGTAACGGTTCAGTAATGGTCGATGATAAATGTGGTGGCTGACTGATAATGGTGATGGCAGTGGCAAATGGTGGCAGTGATGGTTAGTGCTTGGTGATTGGGGATGGCAGGTGGGGGTGGTAGCGTGTAATGGCAATTATAGTGGCTAATGGCAGCGGTGGTGGTGACCGATGGCGACGACAGCAATGGTGGTTGTGGAGGCACCGACAGTGATTGGTGGCAATTATAAGGCTGATCGGAGATGGTGGTGGTGGCTAGTTGTGGCAGTGGTTGTTGGTGCCTATTGATAGCGGTCGACGATAACAGGCAGTCACTACTAGAAAATACTGTAATAGTGATAGAACATTTCCATCGCAAAATAGAAAAATTCCCTCGCAGAAAAAATTTGCGATGGAATTTACAAGGAAACAAGGTTCTCTCTACATGCTTCATCGCAAATGATATTTGCGACGGAATTTGGTTGATCCAAAATACCTCGCAGATTGCTACAAAAAATTTTCCACGCAAAATACTATTATTTTGTCACAATAGACAGACCTATCTACAGTGTTATTCTGTTGCAATCTGCGAAGAAATTTGCGTGGAAAACCTCCTCTGCAAATTAGCAACAGAAAAAATATTACACTTTCATCGCAATATTTGCGACAAAAGGATAGTTTAAATCAGTCGCAATCTTTGCCACGAAACAAATACCTTAGACTACCGTAGATCTTGCGATGGAACATGTAACATAATACCGAACCAAAAGTGCGACAACATCTAAAATATCCGTCGCAAATTATAATAACCCAAATAAATGATTAGGAATTAGTTAATGACTAAAACAGATTAATTAGATGAAAAATCTAATTCTTTAAATTAAATAACTTTTCAGGGTAAAAGTGTGAATAGTGAAAGTTTTGTGATAAAAATGCTAGTAGCCAAAATTACCCGAAACAAAAAAATAAAATAAAATAAAATTAATGGAAACCACTCCATAATTTTAAGAGCCCAAAATCATACGTTAAATACTTCAAGCTAGTAAGTGAGAAAGTGAGTTAAGCAAGGAGGGTAGAAGAGTATTTACCCTTAGTAGATATTTTTCTAACTTAAACAAAAGCCATTTCTCTCTCCTTACAAATCCACTCCATCGTGACTTTCCTTGGTTGGCCAAGAAGCATACTGATTTTTCTTTCTTCTTTGTTCGACCAAGCCCTTTGGAGGGACCAAGTGATTTCATCTCCATTTCATCTTCTTCTACCAAATTACTCCATGGAAACCCATACCCATCATTATCCTCATCTTAAAAGCTTATATTTTAGAGAGAGAAATCATCTCCCAAAACACCCATTTTCGGATTTGTCCATCAGTAGTCATGGAAAATGGTTTTGAAGCTTGAAAATCATCCC